ACATTTACTTCCCAATAACTAGGCCTACCTAGGCCTAGGCCTAAGTCTTCAAACAAAACGTCCAATTTTAATGAATGACCACTCATTTTAAAGATTACATACTTAAGTAGGCCTATCTAATAATACCAATAGTCTATAGTATATATGAATGTACTTTAAAGGTATCATGAGTTAACCTGGACATCCAGAACCAGCATTACTCTAGACTTAGACTATGCCTAGGCGCGCTACTAGGCCTACTACGGCCTAGATCCCACCCAGGCCAGAGAAAAAAATTTTTATATGACAGCAGAGCGGCTGCCTTGGCTGGATGGCTAAACTTGCGTATTGATAATTACAGTTTAAAGTAACAAATTGGGAAAAATATTTAATTGTTTGTCTTAGATTGACTTACGCTCCCAGGTCCCTCGCCATATCCTCCCCTACGGACCAAAGAAGTTGTAAAATTTCGTCTTGAAATTTGCAAAAGCCTTCCTAACGCCATTTTTGCCGGTTGGTTAATTTGATTGCCGAAGCAAAAAAATAACTCATCTCTCCACTATGTATTATACTTACCGATGGTGGCGCTCATGAATATTTATTTACACCTTTCCCGTTTGCCATGCATGTAGACTGAAGGGAGCAGAGCAGAGCAAGCAATATATATTTTGAATACACAGAGAAACGTCAAAAACAATACAGAAAGTGTATTGGTTGTTTATTGTACAAATAATATCAGGACTATCCTGTTGAGTGATCAATACAAAATTTAGAAATTAGAATTAAAATAAATACAAATAGTGTATCCTTTAGTGTATTAAAGGAACTTTCTTAAGACTGAAATACAATTTTCGGTCTTAAGGCCTGTTTATTTGCAAAGATAACGATAAAAAGTTAAAACGCAATTATTCTGATATAGAAAATAAAAGAGATATGAGAAGATAACAAAATATTTTGATAAATCAATTCAAATTACGTCATAATCATTAAAAAATATATAATCGTTGTTACACTACGATTTTATCGTTATTATAATTATGGTAAGATTTGCTTGAGTTTTGTAAGGAATCTGGCATGTAAATTGCAAATGCTAGAATCCAAAAGGACCTATCTAGCTTTACATTTATTAGTTATCAAGGCAAAAGCGTATGTGATTATATTCTTTCTAAATCAAACAACTTTAAATATATATCATCCTTAAAAATTGACGAACGTGTGGAATCGGATCACATGCCAATTAATTTTATGCATCAGTTTGAAAATATTAGTAAAATGAATAATATTGAAGAGTTGGACGTTTCTATTGAAATACCAAATATATTTAAGTGGTCATAGCTAGGCCTATACTGATGCAGCCCGAGCACGATGGAAGCATAATATTATTGAAAATATTGATCATGAATTTATGAGCGCCCTTAGAAACACTGTTGACAGTGCCGTCCTTTTTTATGTCAAATGTTTGACCTAGTAGGCTTGTAAAAAGGAATCAAATACACATGTTGAGGTAAACCCTCAACATATATACAAAGAAACAGATACAAAGAAAAAGAGTGTATGAATCTCAAAACACAGGTTAAGAAAAATTTACAGAAATTTAAACGTATACACACAAAATTCGTTAGATACATATATAACAATAAGCAAAGAAATATAAATTTCAAAATCTTAAACGTCACGCGAGATTATTAACGCACTAAATAGGGCCTACAAATAACAAAACATTCAGCATGAATTTGAAACAAAAAAAAAGGAAAATTTGATCTGTCAAATTTCTATTCGCCAAATGAACACTTCAAGATTCTTTTTTTAACATCTGAGCCTAATAATGAGCTGAATGAGTTTCCAAATATTCCCGAACTCGTTAATGACAATGACACGTTAAACGAAAACATTACTCAAGATGAAATTAAAGGAGCATTTGATTAAAAGACCGGTAATGCTTCGGGAATTGACGGAATGAATTTTGAATTTTTATTACAGCATGGAAGAAAAAGCGAGACTCAGTAGGCCTAAGTAGATAGGCCTATACAGTAAAGTACAGTACAATTATGTGGTAGAATATACAGTAAATGTATGACAGCCGAGCACCTGGAAAAACAGTTTCGAAACAAATCAATTAAAGTAAGAACAATTCACTTGCAAGAATTTACTCTGGTAAATGTTTGCAGGGAACAGTTAAGTTTCACTGTTCCCTGCTGTTAGAAGTGCCGTATCCAGAGCTATTGGGATAGTTGGAACAGTCCCACACAATTTTCTAATGGGTCCACAAATAGAATGGTTGCAAATTTTTAAAAAATGGGTCCAAATTATGCAAAATAAGTTCATATTTCTCAATTTTAGCCTAAAATGGGTATTTTTTTCTTAGAAAATGGGTCCAGATTTTTAATATTTTTGCGTAAAATGGGTCAACTTTTAAGAAAATGGGTCAACATTATTTGAATTTACGGGTAAAACCCTGATATATTGTCCCGCATTGTTTGAAAATCCTGGCTACGGCACTGTTAGGCAATAGGCGTACTAACAATACGGCTGTTGTGTGTGAGCGTAGGGCATAAATTTGATAAAACAACTTAAGGGTACCACCATCTTTACACCCTACAAGTTACAGCTCCCACTGACGTCGAGAAACGGGTAGGCCTAAATTAAAGTTTGCCTCGCAAATTCACAAACAAAACCTTCGCACTCTCGCCGATGAGGGCGGCCCACCTATTGTTATTATAGTAAGTAACTTTATTGCTTCTCTTTTATAACAGAGGCACAGCCGTAAAGACGTGCAACAATAACAAAATCAGTAAAAACTTAATTACTGTGATAAAATATAGTAAGAAAATACTGCGGTAGAACGAA